CATCTCAACTCAGTACTTTCTTACCATACAATTATCTCGAAAGTCGTATGGGTTTGTGGGTCAGAAGAGTCAATAAATCAAGACATAACGACTATCCCTACATTAGTATTGCACGTTTAAGCAGATAGAAGAGGAGCAAAAGGCCGGACCAAGAGGGAGGGGCCAAAATATGTCATAAAATAAAAAAATGATAAAGGCCTCTGCCAAATGGCAGAGGCGAAATTAAACCAAATTTATAATTTCAAATGGCCACAATGGCTAAAAATCACTTTACAATGCAATAATTAAATGAATTTTAAAGCGTTTTGGCTCCCTGAGTGCAGGCTTTATTGCGCGGCAGAACATTTCCACTTGGCCAAGCATGAGGGACCGTTTATGACCAAATAAGAGTAGAGGATTAAACAGAAAAAGCATTGACTAAAAAAAAGAAATGTATTCACCCTAATTCGTTTACTATAACTAAGGGACCGTGATATGAGTAGACATTACATTGCCATTGAATTTCACACTTCCTATCTCAATGGCCCACTGGTAGTCTCGGAAACCTACTTATAAACGAAACAAAAAGATAAGAGCAAATAATTGGTGAATAAAAATTGGATTTATGAAAATCCTTTACTAGATTGATACTGGCGCAACTCTTATTTCCTTCGATGAGGCGAATGAATGAGATTCATACTTGGGCCTCACCAAAAGCTGACTGCTGGATTCGTGCCAACAAGCGTTAGGGGTACTGTCTCGCGGGATCGTGGGTTCATACAATTCTATAATCCCAACTCCAAGATAATCCCTCTTCGGCTTCCGATGAGGCCAATTTAGCAATCCTTTTCGCTCGCCTCCGAACACGACATGATATGTACGCGAAACTCACTATCTCGTTTTATTGACAGAAAAGCCTATGCAATGGCGAAAAAAATGAGCAAAATGGTATGGACGCTTTATTTCATTTTTCGAATTACTTGACTCAACTCTACCTCTGAAGGTGATACACATACACACGTTCACATTCGCATACACACACAGGAAGAGAGAAGGAGAGTGAGTGGGATATGGAGAGAAAGGGGGAGAGAGAGAGAGAAATAAAGAAAGAAGATATGATTGAATACAGCCTAATTAAGCTGAATTGAAGCATCCAACCATATTTGCCGGTTGGGATAGGCCTCGTGACCAAGGGAAACAGCCATGTAAACAAGCTTGTGTTGGTGATCGAAGCAAATCTTGCCTCGCCAGTTCGAAACTGGGTAGCAGTTAAAAGGGGCAAAGTCATGTGGCAGGCGACCAATGACGGAGCAGGCATCAATGAGAGTTGGTCGTGTTTTGTTATCATTGTAAGGCTTAATTTCAATAATAACATTTGCCACGCCCATGCCTTAGAAGTTAAAAAATGTCGTCGTCTGTTGGAATCTGTTTAGACGTTGTTATTTCTTGGTATCTTGTGGTTTGGGGACCATGCTATTTCGAGTGACCAACTGGCCCAAGTTGGTCTCAGGCGCTTGGAAATACATTTTTCATAAGGGCTGCAGCATCAGCTCTGTGGCCTGAGCAGTTGTGCCAACTTTTGCGAGAAAATAACACATCTTCGGTAGCAGAAGGTGACGTTGCATTCAATGAAATGGGCAAGGCTCACTGTGCCACTTATTTTCGCATTGACCCATCTGCAAAGTGTGGCCGGACTAGTTCTGGCAGCATGAGCATCGAAGCTCGACTCCACCAGAAGACGAGGGCGGAGTCCTCTCGGTCAGCTGTCGATTGGCTTTACCGGAACAGCCATGGTGACACTGTTTCCGAGGTAATCTCCTTCGATTCCGGTGAAAAGGTGCTAAGCTTGCGTCTGTCATGTGACGAACATCGTCAGAGCGAGGTATCCTCGTGACAACCAAATTCAAGCTAACGAGTCAAGAAAACTCACCGTCAAAGCCCTAAAAAGTGGTATATATACTCTACATCTGGCCTCTCCGATCAGGTATAAAGTGATTTGGTTAGTTACGGCCATATGTCAACTTCGAAGCCTGTGAGTGTGTCTGTCTCCGCAGTGATGGCGCAAAATAATTAGGACAGCAAAAGTAACGTCTGTTTTCGGTAATAAAGCTTTGATGAACCCTGTCTCCCCCATTCAACATTTAAGTTATAACCATCACTCCGATTGCGCAAGGTCGGACGCACGTCTGATTTTGTTCATGAGCCTATTGTCTGTTTTTGGTCTCAATGCGAAAGAGAAAGAGTAAGCTAAAAGTACAAATAAGTGACTATATTTAGAACCAAGACAAGAAAAGACTAGTTGCGTCGTTGATGATGGTCGTCAAATGACATACGAAAGGTTAGCACCTTTTTACCGGAATCGAAGGAGATTAACACGGAAACAGCGTCGGCATGAATGCTCCACTAATTCCAATCCGCCGTCGTCTTCTGGTGGAATCGACCTTCGAATCTCTTCTCCAAACACTTTCACTCGAAATGGAATTAAGTTCAACAATTATCAACTAGAGGTCGGACACTTTACAGAGCTTAATTTGGGTAATTCAAGAGGACAAAACTTCCATAGAACCAGGTTTCGCGAAGATCAGTCTAGGGTACACCAGTGCCAATACTCACGGCTCCGTTATGCTACAGGGGATTAGCTCCTCGAAATACCATTTTACGTTTCTGTTGCATGGTTACGCCGGGAGCCAGCAAAGTGGAGATTTTGACCCTCGGAAGGCACTGACTTGAAGTCGGCTTATCCCGAGCCTACAGGGTAGGTAGGTCGTCTCGAATTGTAGACTGTAAAGGTCGAAGTGGCCGGCTCGTTTGAGTGGGCTCACTTCGTGACAGAATTTGCATGAAAACACCAGCGAACGGGTACAGTTAAGTCGAGGTGATAATCAATTTGAGGTAAGTGAGGCCGTTGGTTAAATGAATAAAAATGGATTTTGAAGAGTCCCTTAGTGATTTATTGTGACATGAATTCACACTTCAAAGGACTAGCTAGTTGGGAGGAAGTCGTGAAGTAGTCTCACCGGAAACCGGAGTGTAGTAAGAACCGCAGGATTGTGAAAAGAAGTCCTCAGCTCACCACCGGACGACTCAAACAAACAGCTGCCTCTGCTTCCACTTTCTTTTCATGCGTCGAGTTCAATCATCTACAAGGATTTCTGTTAGGCATTAAATAACCAACCAAGACATGGGGTGCCTCATTGGGATCGCAAAGTTAGGTACAAGAAGTGAGTGCGATTGCCCCAGGCCAACCATAGTCCGTTGAAGTACGTTGACCTCGTTGTCGCAACTTGGTCTTGTTGTCAGGGTGACTTAGTAGAAAGCACCTAGTCCGAAGTCGTCTGCCATAGTAGTTGCCATGATTCCCAGCATCAGACAGTGGACTTGGTACA